CTTTGGCTTCTACCATGTATATCAAACATCTGGATTATGTGCTGGTCTTTTTTTGTATTGAAGCCAATGAAGGCAAGCCAGAAGATAATTTGCCCCCTTATAAGTATAATTAACTTGTACCTTCATTTATTTTTTAATTCCTTAAAATGTATGTCACATTACATTACATCAGTTGAAAAATCCTCCTTTGTTCAATGCAGTCATTCCTCCTTTCATAAAATTCTGGAAATGACAAAATTCCCAATCAACAGAAGCAGCATCCAAAGTACAATGCAGTGCAAAATTGCCTTTGCTTCTCTGCAAATTCTACACTTTCAAGTTTATTTATCACCAAAGCAGAGTTATTGACAGTTAACAAACTATGTGGATTAACACACTAAAACAGATGCTATTTGCTTACATCTTTTTGTGAAATACATTTGGTCAGGGCAGGGTTATCAGGGCTTGGGTTGACTTGATGCATGTCGTGAAAAAAAACTAAAAGAAATAGCATAAGATATTAATCTTGAGTGAGTGGAAATAGAAACAAATAGGTTTCTAAGAGCTGTCGGGAGGTTTCCTTTTACACAATGATGGATCCTTCTCTTCTTCCCTGACAATCACTGTTCTGTTCAGCAGCCTCAGCAGGCAGCTCAGCTTTTGGAAAAAGCTGTCAGTAGGTGTAAGTATAAGGTTGCACATAAGCATCAGATGCCCTTAAACATCTTTATACAACTTTTTGCAGTTCTTCATTGCATATAATTAGTAAGATGGTTTTATTTGAGCAAATCATAGGCATTATTATGCAGTTCACACACCCTTTGAATATGCATCCACCTCCACCCCTCCCTCTGTGCATAACCTGAATGCAGAACAGGATAAATTTTGCAGCAGCAGAGTGCTGATTTTGCAGTATGCAAATGAAGTGGCATTTTTTAATGCAGCATCTTCATATAGAGGTGAACTGAAAGGCTTAACACTTGCCAACATTTCAGACCATTAAAATCTAGAATAGAAAAGTTCAAAAGCTGCGTTTTTCCCTGTTCTTTTTTTCAAACTCATTAGTAAGGGCCTCAGCTGTTGAAGTGTAGACTCTGAAATCAGATTTGCAAATGTAACATAAAAAAAGAACCAGTTTTCAAATATCTTTGTTTTCAAATGTGTTTCTCTCTTTAAGTCTATGCACATCTTACATAATTTTTACACTAACTGGGGTTTCATTACACAAATAACCAAACCATTTACTATAAACCAGGTATAAAATCTAGATGACCTCTAGATGTCTCTTCCAACCTAATTTTTTTTGCGATCCTTTTACCCTTTACATACCATTGTGTCTCCCTAGTGATACTGTAATGTAAAAGAATACACACGCAGGAATAAGTTACTTCCTAAATGTAAACTGAGTAACATTTCTTCCCATCACCAGTCTTGTTTATTCTCTAGGTTTTGTTTCTCTTATCGTAGGGTGTGAAAATGAACAGGATGAACATGGCTAGCTTTACTTGTACAAGTCTATGATTCTATGATTCTAAGTCATTTTATTTATAAATCTAGTGAAGTTTCTTCCATGCATACATTCACTCTGGATCCAGGCCTTTATGAAGGAAAGCTCTTTAGGGAAGAGCTGGTGGCTTTCATTTGCATGTGAAGTACCAGTGTTATTAGAATATATGGCAGTATGAACAGTAAATAAATAGGGACTTAATCTTTCAGGTGAGACATTGGTTGAATTTACGAACTGTTTTGTTTGTCTCGTGCAAATTAAAGATCAGCAATTATTTTTGGTCTGCGTCTATGAAACTGTCAGAGATCTATTGTTTCCTTCAAAAGTCATTGTTTCATGATGAACCTAAGCATCTAATTTATTTGTTACATATTTTTAAGTGTACTTGTAATTAATTTACTGAAAATTGTAAATCATCTTATCAATGGAAAAACAAAGGAGGATGGAGTCTGGCTGTTATGTCATTGCTGTGGAAGAATGTGGCAGGTCTAGCCAGCAACTCTTTGGTCAGAGCTTTGTCCTTAGGAGTCACAGCACAAATGTGAGGAGTACATTGTAAGCTGATCTGTCAAGTCAAGCAAAGATTTTCCCTTGTTAGCATTTACCAAGGCATGCATTAATAAAATTGCACGAAAAGTGGAGACTTCCTTTTTCTACTGATGTGCCAGACAGGAGTCTTCTGTGAGGTGAATGCAAAAGCACTGAGCTGTAGCTGCTTTATTTTATGTTTTAAATAACCAGAATTTTATTCACAAATGAGTGTGCCAATAACTTAATTCCAGAATCAGACATCTCTGCTTGAGAGGCATCTATCTAGCTTAGCACCAGTGATGGCAGGTGAAAAAGAATGTGGTAGGATAAGCTGAATGTATTTATATGTGATTCATTAAGAACTGTGGTTTTCCTATTGAAATGAAGCACTCCAAAATAGGTGTAAAAAAATGGAGAAGGGTTGAAAAGTGTTGCAAATGGGAAATGTTTTGGTAGCTTGAATAAAAGCGTGCGATATCTAAAACATTAAAAACCCTTGAGTTACTATTTTGCTTTTGGATTTTTTCTTTTGCAGACGGTCATTTTAGAAAATGAAGAGCTCCCTAAAATATTTCTTGATTTCCTGAACGTTCGCCATGTACCTACCTTGCCAAAAGCAGAAAGCTGTGGGTAAGCTCTCATTTACTGAAAAATACATAGAGGCCAAAAGGTCCGTATCCACTCAGTGCTGATGCAATGCCATTGACTTTAAATGGTCTTGCAGCCATCTCTAACACTGTAAAATAAATGGGCATTAGGTTCATGTTAAGTATGTTTATATATCCCCCAAAGGTGGTAAAATAAATGCAGCCTGTTCAAAGACAGAAGTGAGGTTTAATGTAATATTCTTGGAAAGCAAAGAAGAGTTTAGATGAGAAAAATATGATTTTCTCATAGATCTTGAGGCATTTACTGAAATAAATTTTGTAAGATATTCATAAACACTCACTAAAGTTGCATAGAAAGCTTTTGCATGTGTTTTATGCTCATAGTATCTGGACAAAATAGAAGTTTATTCTGTGATCGTTTTATGATCTCCCTCTGTGTGTTTGAAAATGAGGTCTTTCACCTTTCTGAAGACATCTTCCCCAGTGACTCCATTGCCCTTCTCCTGGGAAAGGTTCTTGATCAGGGTGGGAGAAGGAAATCTTAGTATGATTATGATGAGTGTAATGACCACAGGAATACCCAAAAAAGTATAACTGGAAGCTCTGCTACCATCTGCAGCTGTAAGGTTTGTAAGGAGAATAATTTCTTTTGCTGTGCAAGCTGACGTAGTTGGAAAGTCCAGCAATGTTACCAGAACTTGCTTCCCAGAAAGCTGTGTGGTCCTTTTCCACTTTGGGGGAGGCTGTGTGGATCTGCAGTGGAGAGAAGGCGAGTTGAAAAAAGTGGAGATAATTTTGAGGCCCTCTTACACTTGGTGTCCGTGGCCCAGGGTCTCCAGAGTGATTCAGAGGCTAACAGACTTGTAATTTTCACTTGTAGTTAATGACATCAGCCAATACCCTCAGTGGGACTGTACCCCATCACTTCATAGATAGATAGATATGCATGTGAATCTGTTAGAGTAAAATGGATGCTGTCATTTCCAAGCAGTGGTCGTTGTAAAATGGTATGATCTCCACATGCATTTTATCACACTGCTTTATGCATTTGCTGACCAGAAAAAGGTTGCTCCCTTTGATGGTTTTTAAAGGATTTGTTTGGTTTTTTTATTGTAGAGTTAATTTTGTTGTAATCAGTTTCCTCTCACTTTACTTGCAGCTCTTTTGATGAAACAGAATCTGAAGAATCAAGGTGAGCTCAATTTCTACTCTTTCTAGGACAGCAGATTAATAAACTACTTGAAATTATTGGCATTTACTGTATTTGTTCCTTGAAGTTGACACAATAGTAGTAACTTAGCATTAAAATTAGATGTGTTTGTTAAATGTTATGGCTAGTTTCATCAGCTGTACTAGATCCATCCATTTGTAGTGTGAATTGTGCATCCTTAAGCTTGTATTGAGAAATTCCTGACAGAACCCTAATAGACTAGTTCTAGCTCTGAAATATTTCTGGGAATGTTTTTTACCCATTGAGGTGTATTTTTTGTAGCAAGAAGATTTAGCAGAAGAATTAGATGTTTGGGTTCTCCCCTATGCATTTGATAGAGCTTTGTATGTATCTGGTTGCACTCCTTGGCATGTGTATGTACAGAGCAGAGCAGAGAGGGCTGGCACTGGCTGGGGGAGGATGTCTGTACTGTGACCAGGGTGGGATACAGCCCTGTGAGGGGCTTCCAAGGACTTTCACCCCATGGGTGAGATGTACAGCAGCTGCTTTGGGGGCTGGAAGAACGTGGTGTAATTTCAAGTCTGTTTGGGGGCCTGAAGAGCCTGTAGACCGTGGAGTATGGTTGTAGGTGATCCTGTAGCCTGCATTACACCAAGTACCAGGGAGCAGGAGGTCTCAAAGCCAGCTGCAAGCTGGCCCTCCTGGATGCAGCCCCTTCACTTCCAACTGCACATTGACGGTTTCACTGTGTGGCTGAGGAGCAGTGAGCTTTCCTCCCAGGATATGGAGCCTGCTCAAATTTTTGGGCAGCGCTGTTGTGCAGAAGCACACTGGCATGGCTTCTGCGCAGCTCGACCACCTCACTTTATCAAAGCTAGTTTGTAGAATATTCTGTTTGCTGTCCCTTGATACTGACATCCCTGTTCTTGACCTTTCCAGCAAACTGTCCCACCAGCCTGTGCTGCTGTTCCTAAGGGATCCATATGTCTTGCCTAAAGCCAACGGTAATCAAACCTGTCATCTGTTAACAGCACTTTACTGATCTGACCCTGCACCGCATAAACCACATTATTATTAATACTGGCCTAGTCAAATGACACTGGTCCAAAATCTAATAACCTGCCAATAAAACGATAGTTCTTGTGTAAGAAACCATTAAAACACTAAATGGGGTGGGTGATTTATAAAAGAGTGGAATTTTCTCCCCCAGTTGTTCTCTCAGACAAACCTACTGAGAATTCAAATCAAAAGATGAAGAACATTGCCTTTCTTTTCTTGTTGTTGACCCTTTGGGCTGTTTTGCCTGAAGGATTTGAACTTAGAGGCGCAGTCCTTTGTAAGTGCTTTTTCCCTAAACACCAGTCGATCTATTGTGAGCATGTTTGTATTTTCATTTGGATTATTACTATTTCTTATCATTTATAACCTCTAGAGCTCTTTGGAGGGGGTGGTAAATGGATGTCAACTTTAAGTATAATTGATGTTTCACAGGACATTTACGTTGGCATTCATCTCTTAATACATGGTTCAAAAGAGTGTTTGAAATAGCTTGTTATAAACCCTTTTTTTAAATAAAAAGTTCTTCACATTATTAATTCAGAGAACTTACCCTCTGTCATCAATTAAATGTGTACAGGGAAAAAAAAAATACCATTTTTAGTAGTGTGTTCCTTCTAGTTTTGTCATTTTACTTGTTTGAACTGTTGCTTCTACTAAATTTTGTATTAAAAATGTAATACACTTTCAAGGGAGAATTTTCTCCCAGAGCTGCAGATTAAGATTTATTTTTTTAATGTGGCATTTTGTTTGATTTTACAAAATACTGTGTTGAAATCAAGAGTCAGGTTCTTGAGCTTCCTTGAAAATCACGAAATTTTTAAGAGTAAATTTACGAAAGAACACTTCTTTGTTTGTAGTTTCTTAGCCAATGAAGTGTACTTCCTTGAGATTTTCTCAAGATATATATAAATACCTGAAGGGAGGGTGTATAGAAGACAAAGAAAGCCAGGGTCGTTTTAGTGGTGCCCAGTGGCAGGACAAGAACATCAGGAACATCAGGAAACACTTTATCACTCTGAGGGTGACTGAGCACTGGTAGAGGTTGCCCAGAATGGCGGTGGAGCCTCCATCCTTGGAGATACTCAGAAGCTGTCTGGACGTAGTCCTGGGCAACTGGTTCTAGGTGTCCATGCTTGAGCAGGGGGCTGGACCAGATGACCACCAGTCTTCTCTTCCAGCTGCAACCATTCTGTGATTCTGTTGGTTTTCAAGCTGTTTTTCAAAACCATAGGGACTAGGCTCATGTATTTTGAGAGGGTTAAGTATCTCTCTTGCAGGTAATGTCCGCTCTAGCTAGTAGCATGGCCCAACAGTATTGACCCTATGGAGTCCTACTGAACTTAAAGTTGTCATTCTACAGTGAAACAGCAGGTGCAGCGGTCCTGTGTGACCAAGGTCCACACTGGAACACACATTACAGGGTTATTTAGTTTTTACTTTGACTTAGCAATAGTCTGGTCATGTGGACTGAATGCCCATTTGAGGCTGGAGTGATGATCCGAAGCACCGTAAGGGGAGATGGTCTCTTCACAAGGTCACTCCTGACCAAAGTGACAACAGTAATGCAGAAGCACCCACAGTTACCTCTGTCTAAAAGCTGGTCCAGATGCTGCCTATACTAATATTTAGTGAGGCACATTGCATGTCTTAATCTTACTGTTTAATGCTCCTCTTCATTGCAAACTTGGATTCCTGGGGAGCAGGGAGTAAATTATGACCATCATTTAATTCCATACCATTCCTGAGAGAGAAAATGGATTTCATATACAGTTATCCTGAAAAATGAAGGCAGTGCTTAATGTTTCCAGCCTATATATAAGGTTTTGCTGTAAGCCTTCTATGCAAGATTTTGCAGTTCTGTGATGGTATTTATCTGCCTTCCCTAAAGTGTACTCCCAGCAAGGCTAAGCTCCCTTTTCTTGAAAACATTACGAACTTTATAATGAATTTTGCAACTACTCTTTTAAGTAGTGCTTTACTTGGATTAAGATAAAAGCCTCTTCTAATGCATACGTTTAAATAATAAGTAGGCTACATTAATGACATCTGAAACAAAGGACTTTTCAGGCTTTTGCCAGGGCATTTTTTGGCCTTGATACACAATATTTAGAATTTCATATGGCAGGTGAATATTCTTTGTATTTGAAGACCCTAAAACATCAAATTCCTTTGCAAGTTATTCTTTAGCTTAATGAATTAAAACACAAATTAGAATGTGAGTTGTAGTTCAAAAAAGGAAGAAGAAAACCAAATCATAAGTCTAGAGGCTGTACTAGTTGACTCAAGTCCAGTTAGAAAGAAACAAAGTTTTTACACAACTACCATTGCCTTAATTTTTCTTCTTGGTTTTTAGTTTGCAGCACAGAGAAAAATATAGGTGAGCTTTCTAAAATTTTCTGTCTCAGATCAGTTCTTACTTTGATAGACTCTGATTGCTTTGTAAAAAGCAGCCAAGGCTGTTCAAACTATGACCAAAAGTTAAGTGTCCATTAGCAAATAACTGTTCGTTGTATGTACTCTTTGAAGAAGGTGAACTATTACAGTTGTTTGGATCAGAAGTGGAGTTAGTCTTTCCTGGATATAGGAATGCCTGTGTTAACATCTTCCCATAAAATAAGAAAGTGTGTATTTGTGGGTTTTTAATTAAATAGATAGTTGTTTCTGGGACACAATACTCAAAAGAACAATTTTTTTTTTCCCTCATTGCACTGTTTTTATAAAATATAGTCTTGCCATTATTCTAATGACTGGACTTTAAGCATTGTTGAGTTGCCAGACAAATTCCCAAAAATAAGATTCATAGTTACAAACCTCATTGATTTTCAGACTCCCTTTTTCATGATGTATCTAACACAGGCTGAGTGCATGAGCACATCACTTGTGTAAGGTGGCCACTTCTTTTTGAGGGGGTGGGGAAAAAAAATTATATACTATTTTGAAGAAAAATGAAGGAAAAATCTAAAATGCTGTAAATTGAAAATGATACCTCAGAAACTAAAAAATGGAATCTCAGATTTACTGTCCCTTGGTTGAAAATTGTTCTGACGATTCTGACAGGACAAGGAGCAATGGTTTTAAACTAAAGAATAGATTTAGACTGGATATAAGGAAGAAATTTTTGACAATGAGGGTGGTGAAGCACTGGAACAGGTTGCCCAGAGAGGTAGTGGAGGCCCCATCCCTAGAAACCTTCAAGGTCAGGTTGGACGGGGCTCTGAGCAACCTGATCTAGTTGAAGCTGTCCCTGTTCACTGCAGGGGGGTTGGGCTAGGTGATCTCTAAAGGTCCCTTCCAACCCAAAGCATTCTATGATTCTGTGATTCTTTGAGCCATGTTAGTATTACAGATCCGCAAGACTGTGCTTCGGTGTATTTATACATTTAACTTAAATTAATATGCTTGATTTTTTTAAGCAACAAAGTCTCACAGTAAATCTGATGCTGTAAAGTTGTATCTTTTTTAATCAATACTCATTTTCCTACATATACTGTATGTTATAGAAGAAGCAGTAAAAACTGGGTTCTGGAACTGCAGCATTTAATTTAGAATTTAGAAGGAAATTTAGAAGGAAAGTATCAGATTGCCCTTGCAAGTGTATTTTTTAATAACATTAATGACAAGAGCGTAGGGTATTCTACAAGGCTGATTTGGGATAGCTGAGCTTGCAGGACTTGAGGAATCATTATTGGAATAAAAATATTAACAAGTAATTTATAATGATGAGTTAATATGAGAATTTGGGAAGAATTATACATGTATTGTTTACGGTGGAGGTTCTAGTTCCTTAAAACATCCTCAAATATCTCTATTTGTAACATCTTTAATACACTGGAATCACCTTATTAATACCTATAACACCTTTAAGCCAATGAGGATCTTTTTTTTTCTTACCAAGTCCAAATCTACTTTTCGCTCATTATTTTTACCTCCAAAATCATTTTAGCAAAAGAATTAGGGGCAAAGCCTGATTCCCACACATAGTAGGTGATCTAATTTATCAAGTGTCTAATGATTTTTATAAAAGTCACATGTCTGCTTTCTGAATATCCTGTAGGCTGATAGGTGAAGGAAAGACTTGATTAGTGTGGAAAGTTCTGTATCAGAAATAGTCTGTTCTTCTAGGCAAACCCATTTCCTAGTGTACTAGCAATTTTAAGATAGTAAGATGTGATCAGAAATTCTTACTCTTAATGCCCAGTAATTTAAGTGAACCCTTCATTACAAACACAGGAGTTGGTGCATTTGAAAAATACTTTCACTCCAGTTAACGTACATCCTGCCATTCCTCTGTGTGGATCTGTTACTGTGTTCTATCAGGTAATTCTTTCGTGCTAAATTTAACATGAATATTAAGTGCCAGTTTCCTCTACATCTGTGGTAAGAACATAGTGGGTTTTTTTCTTTCAGGTATTACAGGATGACTTTTTGTAATACGTGACATTTTATGTTGATTAGACAGCCTGAAATTTTCCTGCCTCAAATAATCATCTCTGATCGTACAGGCATCCTCAAGTCTTCTCAGTCCAAACATTGCTGTAAACCACAATGGAAAAACAGCTTTGAAGTATTCCCAGTAGCAATCTTGGAATTCCTTCAAGTATATTGAGATTTTGTTAGAAATTGAATTGCCAGTGTAATCCATCTTCCTTGTGAGAAAAGATTCAGATAAAGAGCTGGAGCCTAGCAGCATTAAGTATTAGAACACCCCTTTAAATCAATAAGCTACAAATCTGGCAGCGCATTCATGCAATGCCCAGTGCTACACTAAAGTGGCTTTAGTGCTGAAACAGCATTACTAATAGCACATCCCGAACACGGATAAACAGTTGAGTGATGCAGTAACCTAAATTATACAAGACCTTACCTGGTAAAGTTTCACAAAAACATGTATACTTTACTGACATAGATAAGAAAGCAAGGTTTTTTTCTTTTTTTTCAGATGACTTTCCAAATGTAGTTATAGAAGGCATTCTACATGGAATATTTTATCCTCATTTACTGCCCAGGTAGAAGTGATGCGTGGCTAGAAGAAGCTGAAGCAAGTCTCCAAGTCATGTTTAATGGAATTAATAGGAATAAAATTCTGTGATGTGAAAATTACACTCAGAAGCAAGAGACTCAACTTCAGTTTAAGTTCAAGCATTACATCTTTTTACATAAAATCAGTGTCACTACAACTGCTGCTTTTAAAAAAAGAAGATATGGAAACAACAGTATTGAAGTTATTTATACCTTCTACATATTGACATGCTCTAGCTATTTAACACTAAAAGCTGAAAGTCATACACTGAATTACACTAACCTTTGAAAAGAATTGAAAGCTTTACTAATTATTTCTATAATTTCTATCATAAATTACACTAAACCTTTTTGCACCAGGATTTTTCCCAGCACATTACCCATTGCTGGCAGTGGATGGATTGAAAGTGCTGGCACTGAAGAGAGTGTATGAGAAATTGCCAAAAAAAAAAAAAAAAAAATTAAAGCAAGAAGAAATTGAAAGCAACTTAAAGTATTTTGTTCATTTTTTTCTTAAATTATTTTGAATCTGCTCCTTAATATCAGGTTGCAAAAGAGCCAATGCAGGTGTATGGAGAGTTTCCATTGGAACACATGCTTCCACATTCTGAAATGCATAGCGCTCTCTCAGGAAATTTTCTAGATTTCAGTTGGAATTATTTTATCTACCAGGAGATTTTTACATGGCATTTATGCATCTCCATTCGGTTATGACATCTAATCTGCATGTGTGTTTACTCTTCACATCAACTTGCAGACTGTATTCCATATCTTAACATTTTATGACACAGAGCATACAACTCTGTGGTAAGCTAAAGCAAGAATATGATTAAGTAGTAAAATGACAAAACTAAAACTGCTACATATATATACATATATGCTTATATATATGTATTTGTTCAGATTTAACTGGAAATTTGTATGTGTGCTACTGGGTATTACAAAATAAATTACTAAAACATGAATGTACTGCTGCAGTGTATTTTTTTGTGTGTTTCTATTCAAACAAGACACTTCTCTGAGTTTGTGTCATCAGAGATGGGTCGCACAGATAGCTCTAGATGAAGCATGAGAAAATACCTGGGTGTCCGCTCATTTAAAACTCAGTGCCATGCTATCTGAACATGGTAGGCTTCTAAAAGTGTATGTTTTGTGGGAAAAAATTCAGTGCAATTGAACAGCCAGTAAGTCATCAGGCTCATCAGAGGATGGGTGGGATTGCACAAAAGCGGTAATGGCAAAGCTAGACACGAACAGAAGTCTGATCCTGGATACGCATGGGCTGCCTCCTGCTGACTACTAAATCTGTTTTAAAGCTGCTTGGGGATGGTGAAAAGCTGGGACTTGTATAAAAGGCAGGCCTGTGACTGCAGCACTTGTTCAGGTAGCAGAACCGTCTACGCAGTCTGCAGGATCAACCTCCAGGAAAGCTTTCAGCTACTAGCAGAAAGCTATTTGGGCGAGGGAGTCCGAGGCATTCTTGCTTGTACTTCCTAACACTGCTTCCCAGTGCTGCTTTTCAGAGAATTTTATTTTCAACAGTTAGTAGAAGGAAAAATAAACAGCGGTGAAATGGAAGTCTGATTGCCTAGTACTAGGCAAATTTATAGGCCCGCCACAAGTTCTCCTCTAGCTCTGTTTTAAAGAGGGCAGTAATCCTTTCACAGGTCTGAAAAAAAGTGTCGGTATTTACCCCCAGGAGAGGCGCCAGGACTGTGGATGGTGAACAAGCAGAAGCTCGCCTGCAACTACAAATGACATGTCAGGAGGACCCGAGGTAAACCCCTGGCCAGAGCATTTTCCGGTGTCCTTGCGAGGGGGGTGCCAGTAGGTATCTACAAGCTCTGTGCTGTTGTACTCACTCTTCCCCGGCACCGCTCCAAGTCTGGAGACCTCACGTGGGCTCCAGGACACTAGTCACTACAAAGAGAAGTGGCCTGCTGCCTGCTGTGCAGGTGGATGAATCCTTCATCAGATCTTGGCATTGGCTCTCCTAGCTTGAGTTCTAAACACTGGAAACTCAAGTTTCTCTTTCCTGTGGAGTATGATGTGACTCACTGAAGAACCTAACAAACAAACACAGCTGTCTCTAAGTGGTACCCTATGCTGACCTTGTTTAAAAGCTACAAGTTGTCAGCTTAAGAGTTATTTAAGAAGCATTACAAAAATAATGAACCTGAAGTTGCATCTCTGACATACAGCAATACTGCAAGAAAAAGCATTTGAGCTTTATCATAAATAACATTAGCTAGATGTTATAAAATTCACTGTGCTGGAAAAAAGAATTCTGTTTTAATCAGTTTCTAACTGATGATCTTACTGAACAATAGACAAAGCTGCTCTTTCTTGATTACAGGATTGTATCTGAATACTGTGTTTTTTTGAAAGACAGCAGGGACTTCATCCTGACACATTAAGATTAGGGAAATTTACCATCCCTGCTCTAACCTTACAACCTTATTTCCTGGAAAGCAGCACCCCCTGAGTATTTTGCAGCATCAACTGAGGTGAGAAAAAAGGCCTTTGCAGGGGGAAATAAAAAAAGCTCTTCAGTAAGTATTTATTTGAAATCGAAGTTTATTTATTCAAAACACTTCTGTTTTTTATTTTTTTTCCATTTTTAAAAATGCTGATACTGTTACAGAAAATAGTGTTTTCAGTTGAAAAGGCGGAAACAAATAATGCAAAGATTTCCACAGAGAACAAAATTACTGTACTTCAAACCTTGAAAGAATAGAAGTACTTCTAAAATTTTTCATGACAGACTTCTTCTGCAAGATCTAGGACTTAGTGGGATACGTCTTGAATTTCAAGGAGCGACAGCTCCATCAAGGTGTTATAGAAATGGTCATATCTTTAATATATTTGGCAAATGATACATACCATCTAAATATAGCCTCATGTTTTGAGGGGAAAACTCAATGTATAGTTGAGATCGGTCAAAAACAGGTCTTAAAGAAAAGTGATTAAGTTTTACTTTCCATTCTGTCTGTTGGTCTCACCAGTCACCTACTTCAACTACAAATGGTTCTTTTACAGCTATTTTGCCACTGTTCACAATCACACAGTCTTCAAGGGGCCGGTCATGTTCATCCGTCTGCTGGAGTTCTATCGAGTGTACCACAGACTGTTAAAAAAAAAAAAAAGTTCAGTTTAGCCAAGGAAGGTCCAGTGGCTCAAGTCTGGGACCAGGTGCTCCTAGCATTACTATTTATTAAGCAACTTCTGAACAAAGACCTTTACCCTGTTGAATTCCCACATGCTTTTTTTTTTTTTTTTTTTACACGTTAGCAGTTATGCCACTCTGCAACCCACACACAGTTGACAGAAGCATACAGAAGGCTGCCTGCCCTTCTATAAAAACTTTCAGCCAGCAAAAATACTGTGAAGGGGCAACTGAAAATACCCTTTCAGCTGATCGACCTAGCACATGCAGGGTTTATCTGTAGCCTATGAGCAGAAAGTGAATCCAAAGATCATGAAGGATGAGCAGTAAATATTTTTCTGATCGTACAGCATAACTGTGCTTGAAGAAAGCTGATGATTGCTTTTACCTTTAGTCTAAGACACACACACTCTCACGCTTTAAGTGTGGTACCATGCCCTCCAGCCAGACAGGTACAGGTAAACTACCAGCCTCACACCAGGCAACTAATTAAAGTAGTATTTCTGAAGGATAAAACTTGGTTAGGAATATTGACTACCTGGCTTTGGATATTTGTCTACTAATCTAACTAAACTGAAACTTAGTCTAAGTCTCTCCTCAAAAATTTTCAGCTACTACTGTAGCTCATGAGAATTTAATTCCATATGAATGCAGGAATGGGGGCCAAGTGCTCTGATGAGGTTTTCAAACTCCTCAAAGAACTGGTCAGTGCAGCAGTTCATGTTTACCCCATTCCTTTCAAAACACAGATTACATGGAATAATTTAAGATGAAAACCAGACTACTAAAAGTATAATCAGTTGGAAGTACCATTTTTAAACTTAAATTCTATTTGGCCTTTAATCAGCTTTGCAGCTGTGTGCAGTTTGACAGAATGAACTAGATTTTTTTTTCTTTTTAAACAGATCTGAATATATGTGTTTGTATACTTTATATTCACATGCTTCTAAAAACCGTAACAGTGAAAGTGTTATCCATAACTAACACATGCTACAAAATTAGATTTTAGCTTGTAGAAATACAATTATTTCATGGCTAACAGCATTAGTGTAAGGGGGACCTGAACTTACTCCACCTGTAATCTGCAAACGTGTCAGTGTTGATTTCAGTGGTTAGTGGTCTGAAACAAGAGCTGTGAAAGCCAAAGGCATGATTTAAGTTTCCATTTCTGCAGTCACCATTTGCTATTTGAGTTCTACATCATCCAGCTCCAGGCTCTTCACAATTGTTTCCTACTGTGTACGTATTAGATAAACACTCAACTGTTTCGAACCACAATAGTGTAAGTTACGCTAACACAGATATAACGTGGCAGAATTTGTCCAGATTTTCTTGGATTAATCTTGCCACTACTTTTAGCTTACCATTCCATCAAGGACTTTGCCAAATACTACATGTTTTCCATCTAACCAGGAAGGCTTTGTCACACTGATGAAGAACTGGGATCCGTTGGTGTCTGGGCCAGAATTAGCCATGCTAACCCATCCAATTCCATAGTGTTTGAGCTTGAAGTTCTCATCTGGAAATCTTTTTCCATAGATGCTTCTTCCTATGACAAAAAATAAGAAAAAAAAATAAGATTCTTTTTAGAAAAAATGAAATGAAAAAAACCCTCTGTTCAAAAATGGGAAAAACGAAGTGTAAATTCAGGACTTGCTGTGCTTACTGAAACAATAAATCTTCAACAGCACTGTTCAATCATCAGTGATTCCGCAAGTAAAAGCATTTTGTGTGTAAATAAAAAGATAAGCTAAAACACCACATTTAAGGAGAGAATATTTAAAGCTGATGATGCTTCATCCTTTGAATTTAACAAGCAAGCAGAGTACCTTCAAAGGTCCTGCTTACATACACCACTGAACAATAGTATACTTCATCCTGTTCAACAAATTTAAATTACATAATTATGGCCACTAAAAATAAGGTTGCCATGTTTTGTGACATTTTTAGTCTTTAGTTTTACCACTTTTCCTCCTAATAAGAAATTGCTTTAAACATGTTTATAAATACCTGAAGACCAAATGGAAGTTAGCCTAAAAGACTTGGTGTGGATTTGTACGATCATTACATAAGGATTTTGATGTTTCTAAAATAGTTCAGAAGAGAAAACATTTGAGTCATGTTTAAACCACCATCACTTTGAAAAGAGAAGGCTGTCTCTCATTCTTTATTTGTACAGTGCCTAGCACAATGGGGACACTGCTCGCCAGATACTATCCCAATACACAGTATTAGCAGGCAAACAAATACTGCCAACCTTTAATGCTAAAACTGTGTCTTTGGTACGTTAGCCATTGTTCACTGCAAGGAAAAGGAACTTGTGTTTTCCATTCTGTCCTAGTGGGGAAATCACTAACATTGTACGCAGACAGTTCAAATCATAGCATGTGAAGAATGCACGTGTAAAGGAAGAGAAGAAATCAGAAGCCAGAATGCATGCAATGCAAGAGATGCTGCACTGGGATTGCACTCCTTAGTGGACTGAACTGGTCTTCTGGAGGCTCAGGAGGGAGAAGTGATACACACAGCCAGAACTCACACCACCATTACGGTTTTAAATTTAGTAAGAGAAAAAAGGGACATGATCCCCATTTTCTAATTTCCCTACCCATTCTGAAATTCCCTCTCATAGCACATTTCAGAAGGTTCCACAGAACTGGCTGAGCTGAGGGCAGAGAGGACAGCCTACTCCTTCCCTACCTGCCTTCCCTCTACGCGCTTTCACTGTTTCATCACGGATTAGTTTTCTGCTGGATGACTTGAATTGGTTCACGTATACATGTAATCAGTGAGTGCCTCAGGGAAGGAGCGCTGTCACAAAGCCAGAGCAGGGGAAGGGTGGAGACATCCATCTTTTGGAGACAGTATGTTGTAGGAGCAGCTCAGCTGGTCACGTGGCTCCAGCCCACCACGCAAAGCCATGCTTCTTGAATGAGGACAAGTCACAGACAGAAAAGAGCTATCTGCAAAAATTGAGGACAAAGGAAGCTCTACACATACTTGTCATCAGGTAATCCAAATAACTGCAGCTTATATTCCAAGATGCTTAGAAAAGTACTAGATGCTCTAAAACAAATGTTTGTTTTGTTTTTTTTTTCATTTATGGGAGCTGAAAGAATGAGGGAATATGCTGTTTTGCCCATCTTTTCAGCAGACATTTGAAGAAAGGAAAGGAAACCTGGAAGATACTAAGCATGTTACCTCCTGATCCATCTCCAGCTGTAAAGTCTCCTCCTTGAATCATGAAGTCTTTGATCACACGATGAAATTTACTTCCTTTGTATCCATATCCTCTCTAAGAAAATGAAATAATTCTTTAAATGAATAAAACACCCAGTTCTATAGAGTCATATGGAAATAGGCATATGGTGAATGGACATATTTCACAGAATCTACCACCACCAGAGACAAATACTGGCAAGAAACAAATTAAACTGAGATGCAGGTGAATGCAGCTGGGCTGCACTGCCACAAAGCAGGTATTATTCTGGTGATCACAGCAATTGTCTTTCTTTGACTGGTATCTGACCACAGTACCTCTACGTGCTAGATCTGCATCGCTGAGACAGATTGAGATGGTCATATCCAACATCTCATAAGTACATGTTGTGAACCAAGCCCCAAGGACCTGAGAAGACACACACCAGCGCACAGCCTTGGGGATGACACTCTTGCACAGGCTCCACTGAGTTAAGATTGACAGTTCACCATTGAAACAGCATTAAACAAATATTTACTTCCCAATCCGAACTTCAGTACACAGTGGAAGAAAACTGCGAACATACTTCTCCAGTTGCCAGCACAATGAAGTTCTCCACAGTCTTTGGGACAACTTTTCCAAACAATCCAATTACAATTCTGCCAACATCTTTGTCTCCAATCTTCACATCAAAGAACACCTGAACATTTTTGTGAAGAGAAAAAAGTGATACAAACATGAACGCAACAAAAAGGCCAAGCTTTTGAAAGCATAAGGTGGTAAGAAACTGCTTCTGGCTGGTCTATATTAATAGTATCCTTCAATTCTTAAGGGTGCTGTTTAAGAAAAATCCTTTCAGAGCTACCAAGATCAGATTATGCAGAAACCTGTTTGAGAACTGGTGACTATACGTTTCGATTCTTACTGCTTTTAAGGGCTCAGTGAGACTGCTGTATCACAAGTTTGAAGGTAGTGTTCAAGAAGATTATTCCCAGACATGCAGGTCTTTAAAGCTGTACAGAAAAGATGAAACATGAAAGTAAGGAAAAACGACGACGCTACTGCAGTGCAGGGAACAATAAGAAGGAACTATAGTACTGACACTCCCCACAAATGATAGTTTGCTACCCACTCATAATCACCACTATTCTAGGCATTAGTATGTATGTGATTAAGTATATGCAAAAGCCTAAATTTCATTAAATTGACAAACAGTGGGAGGAAAATCGTACAGCTCAAGGAAGGAGTTGCTTTCCTAAATATGAAACCTGATAGACAAATAACCAGGCTACATTATTCAGCTGATTGCCTAAATGCTTCAACGTAGATGTTGCTAAAAAGCAACTTCAAAAAGGCAAATGAGTTACAAAGCATTTTAATATCGTTCAGAACATATGAATGCATATTTGAATGTGCAAAAATGTTCCAACAATTACTGAAAACAGGAACAGCTGTCAGGAAATGAGGCATTTTGAAGTTCTGAAAAAGTTACATAAAGACTATTACAACTTCTAGGAAACAGCAATGTGTATTCCTATGATGTGGTATTTGCTGTTCCTTGTGGCACTCGACCAAATATTACTTGTCTGCAACGCTAAGAAATTAGTCCAATAATGATAATAAATGACCACAGTCTCTCCAATGTGAATGTCTCTTTCACGCTCTCCTTCTAAATGTTTCTACCATTTCTTGATCTTCCATGTGGTTTTGACTGTTGAACTTTTGGCTAACGCTATAAAAGCTCTATAAAGAAAATAAAATTCCTTTTGATACACCTCATTCATTTCCTTGGCACTTGGCACTAAATAACATACTTTCTTAGATGTGTGGCTCCCAAAGTATTAACAGCACACTTTCACTAACTTCTTAACATTTTTACAAACATACCTCTCTGAATTTTGCTGCCAGGGTTATCTAGGTAAGGGGTATTGCCTGCCTGTTTTCTAAACGCACCTTATTTTGCCTGGAAATGTTGTCCTAGTAGAAGGACTGCCTGAAATATATAAGCATATATAAGCATATATAAGTAACACAACTGAGGCTACCAGTGACCCCAGAGAACAGTAACATCAAACACTTTCACAACGCACACGGAGACAAGTCCATCATATATTATATGATATAATGATATATAACCCAACCCAAAGGCTTCGTTCATGGCAGACCTGCTTGCCTAAGCTGCAAACCCAGTACTTCCAAAAAGCATTGCTTCGGCTTATTCTGCATTTGTGAACAAACAGTAAATTCCTGGCTTCGTATTAGCACTCCACAGACCTGTGCTACACGCTTTGTAACTTTTGGACAGCTCTGTGCTTCCTAATTATGCACCACATAACGTGTCTGTGCATACTTCTGGCCAGGAAATCAGATACGGAAATATCTGGTAGCCCCAGATGCCATTCTTGCGTAAAGAAGCCATGTTCTCGTAAGCATATTTCCTCAGGTTCTCTGGAAAGTCAGTAAGCATGTAGACACTAGTGAGCTGGTCAACACAGCAGTCTCAAAAAACATCTGGCCAGATTCTTCACCAAAAACTCTTAAAGAAAATAAATGCTGTACATTTTCAGTCTTATTTATATTTATATAAATATTTAATCTTATTTACAATTTGCAGTATTTCAAGACTGAAATGAAAAAGAGTGCACCAGTAAGAGTGGCTGTTTCTCACAAACATGTTCATATATAATTTACGCACGATGGTGTATATCAAAATGAAAAAACAGCCAAGAGTATTCAGTTGGGGGGGGTGGGGAGTTGACTGTGAAACAAAGATCTCACGACTCCTAGAGACCAGGTAATATAATGACAAATGAACTCCAACAAATGCAAAATACTGCATGTGGAAGAGGATTATACAACCACAACAAGGGGTCCTAAGTTGGCTACTACTCAGAAAAGACATCCAGAGTCACTGTGAGCAGTTTGATGAAAAGCTTGGCTCTGGGCTTGTGAAGGTCAGAGAAGGCAAATGAATGTTAGAAATAATTAAAAATGGATAAGGACACGACATGGACATAATTATGCCATGGTATACACCTGTACTGTGCATTCACACCCCACGTGCCACATGTAATTCTGGCTTCTCTATCGCAGAATGATAAAACCAACCTAGAAAATGTGGAGAAAAGAGGGGCACAGATGCCTAAAGATCTGGAATACCTTTTATTTGAAGAAAGATTAAATCAACCTATGCAAGCTGGAAGAGAGAAAACTGATATGATGTGATGAGTTCTGTAAAGTTACGACTGGCCTGGACAAGCAAAATTGGCAGCTGCAATTCTCTACGTCCCACAACGTAAGAATCAGGAAAGGGCATAAAATTAAATCCCAGGCAGAAGGTCTGAAGAAGCAAAGTACTTTATGCATAATTAAACTGGAATACATTGCCAGAAGGTGATTTGGAAGCCAAAGTGTATGAGATTTACCCCCCCCCCCAAAAAAAATCAAATTCATGGACTAGAAGTCCATGGCATTGAAACTGTAGGCAGCCATAGACAATGGTGGCAATGAAGTTCGGAGACAAAGGTACCGCCTGTGGCTCAGGAAGCCGAGGCCATGCCAGAGGAAGCAGCTCTGGCCCTGCCTTGCCCTGTCACGCTTTGACGGGCGCAGGCATCCTTCACCAGGGGCACGGCACTCGCTTTTGGGTGCAGGTGGCAAGGTACTTGGGGGCAGAAACATCTAATCCCTACTTTATCCAAAGCCGGACTAGACATCCCACCTCCTTTGCACCAGCAAAAGCTTTTTGGAAAGAGATGCAGGTGCGTTGCAATAGCCAGGGGAAACCACATCGCGCTGGCAGGCGGCACGGCCCGCAACTCCGTCTGTTGGCCAACGCCATCTGCAAGTACCGCAGGAGCCTCGGCCCAAAGCCCGCCTGGCCCGTGACGGGGGCCCGCGACGCC